ATGCCGATGTCCCCAATCGAGAGCTGCGTCGCTTCTTCCCTCCGTGGTTTTGTAAAAGACCGACAGTCCATGAACCCGGGGATCAAGTTCAGCCATGAACTAAGCCCAAGGCAGATGCACTAAAGTGACAATTTTGTTGCATGACCAGTGCATTGAGGGGTGCGCGTGAGGTGTTGGACAGGTCGGGTTCTAGTACGTTTGAGGTTCGTTTGAGTATCCAGTCAAGGCCGCTGCGCTGGTTTTTGCCTTGAAGACCATGTTGATAGAAACTATTTGCCTTGAAGCTTGACAACTAAATCCTCCAGATTTAGTCGAGGCGGGCTGAAAAATCTCGAGGCGGCAAGGCTCGACTTGAGAAAAACAGCTTGCCTTGACTAAATCCTCCGGATTTAGTCGAGGCGTTTTTTTCCTAATCAAAATTGACCATGCAAATCTAGACTTCCTGGCTCCCAACAATTAGATTCTTTGGTAAAACTCCCCGACAATTAAATTCTTTAGTAAAACCTCCCGACAATATCCGACAATTAGATTCCTTAGTGAAACCCCCTAACAATTAGATTCAGATGCGTCATCCCAAATCAACCAGGACCAGAACCGTGAAAAAAAAATGAAACCGGAAATGACTTTTCTAAAGGTTACCCCCCTCACCCGATGTCTAATTCAAGGGGAGGGGGATCTAAAAACCCTGACTGGAGGAAAAGCGGAAACGGTCCATCTTCCGCTTCAATCTACTCCAGGATGATCGTCTAGCCTAGCCCTCAGCGTGCGCATTCGCCAAGGCACGTGGCGTCCACCAGCATGTCTGGATGGTTCATGATGCCTCTGGACGGACAGGACATCATCGCCGTGGCAAGCTTGACGGGGTCAAAACATGTCCGAACCCATCAAGGAGCGCGGCGAGGTTTCCCTCGCGTTCCGCTCGTTCGGTGTTGCGTTTGGTTCTTCGAAAGGACGGGAAGGGTCGGACATCATGGGGTGACGTCCGAACAAGGAAAGCCATGGGCACTGCCATGGGCAACTTAGGGAAATGCATGAACATGGACTTCAACGTGTTTTGGCCAAATTCAGGAATTCGAGTCCCAGAACTACCGCTGCAGTTGAGGGACACTCGGCGATGATGAAAATGAAGCAGTTGAAGATCGTCAGGATGCGGTCCATGATGAAGTAGCGCAAGGCCTTGGGCCATTGGGTGAACTTCTGCTGGGGCACACCCTTCTGATGTCACAGTGGTCCACGACAGTCAGTGAGTTGATTGGTCCAACATATAGGCACAAGCACACACCACACCACACTTCGGCCAAGGCACCAGTTTGTCCCAAAGCATGTCCAATGAAAAAGCGAGAATTGGATGCATGATCGTCTGAGGGTGGTCGAAACGAATGTAGCTGATCAAAGCCCGGGAGAGCATCTTCGTTTCATCCATGTCTTGCAACAGGTGCTTCAAATAGTAGATCACTGGGCGCAAGTTGTCCTCGCAAAAGAGTGGTGGCGCACGATCCAACCTTTAAGGTGCATTCGTGCATTGCCATTCTATTCAATTTGTGAACATTGGATAACATTGGTGCATGTGTGAGAATTCCAAAGCAACCTGAGTGAGGTCCACAGTATTTAGCTCAGCTTGTGTACCTTATCCCACGGCAAGGCGTGGTAGAAGGAAGAAACAAACACGTCCAGCTGCGATTTCTGATATTCTCGGACCAAGTCCATCGGTCCTGGCTCTTGTGCGATCGCCAGATCAAGCCATCCAACAAGGTCTCTGCCAGGAAGGGCGCCTCGCGCAAGACGTTGTCTGCGATGTTGGGCTGGTACCTCCGCAGTCCAACGCCATGACACTTGCACGGCTGCAGTCACGCTGCCGTCTTGAGGCCCCACGTCTGGAGAAATCCACAAACACATGGAGATAAGAATGATCGAATCTTAGCAACCCTCTAAAGCATATCAAACACACCTAATGCCCCTCCGGGGCAGCCACTTGAAGAGCTCATCAGCTCCAAAGTAGTAGTTGTCCCTGTCCTTGGCGCCAGGCACACGCATTGTGCATGCATGGCACGTGCATGGCGCACGCATCGCGAAGCTTTCGCTCTGGAGAAGGAGGAGTCACAGTCACACTATGTCAAACTCATCACTCGCAGTCCTGTGACTGTGAAGGATTATCAATAAATCATAAATCTATATAAATCTATCATCGAACCTGAGGTTGTCTCCAAAAAAGGGATCCCGAATGATTCCAACAACCGTAATTTTCGTTGCTGTTTGCTGGCTTCTTACTTGAAGACGTGGCCATGTGGCTTTTGACTGAACTTTCAAGCACTGGAACACACCGCCTCTTCTTCGAAGATCTAACATCAAGCTTCAGCTCGAATGGTTAGCACGTCTTCGATCATCGTCTTTGCAGTGTCATGAGCCCCGCTCCTGGCAGAAACTGGACTAGTGATGCGAGTAACCTCCGAAAGGACATTAAGGCTACAAATATACCCGACAAAGGACCGCACATATATTTATTCAACAAACAATGTCTGTGTCATGTATATCATATATCGACAATCAATGTCAAAAAATTGTCTTCTGTCAGAAGCAAAGCAAGACTCCTCTTGTAAAAATGTCCAGATTGGAAACCAACACAGTTTTTGCGAATTCATCAGCAGTCTTGGGGTGTTTCAACATCAGAATTGTTGATTCACAATGCTCCGGATCACACCCGATTTGGCTCGTTTTGTTCTGCCAGGACCCATCCGGGGTGGATGAAAGCACTGGGCAAAGCTTGGCATCTCCTCAAAGCCCAGAAGAGTGGCGAGATCGATTGACTGCCCACTTGCACCGCCAGCTGCCACACGCAACGTTCCACCTCATCCGGAAAAACATCGGACATTGGTCACCTCTTCGTTGGAAGGTGGGTGCACTCTCATGATTCAAGGATTCATCCCTATAAAATCGCCCTATTGCTGCATATTGGCGGCTCTAATGAGACACCAAACGAGCAACAAATGATGGCATTCTGGTGGTGGAGTCCTGGTGGGAGTTCTTTCGGATTGACCTGGAAAGAACACCGATCATCAACAACGATGCCCACAGAAACCCTTGATACTACTTGTATTGAGCTTCAGCGCTGTGCGTTTGCTGGCTTCATCATCTCAGAAACCGTTTGCTTCCCCCACCCCGTCACGTGTCCCATGACGAGCAGCACGAGGAGCATCCATCAATGCACGGCGCAAACGCTTGGAATCATCAAAGTGAACTGCCTGCCTGGCCCGAACAATGTGGAATTTGTTGGGGTCTTCCCGGGAAAAAAAGCGGTGGCTAACATGAAGGGAATCATGATGAATCTGGAGGTTTCAATGCCAGTCTCGCGGGTCAAGGAGTTGCTACTGGAGTTACTCAAAGCATTGGTAGGAGGCCTGAAGCGGGATCCATGCTCACAGCCACCCTGAAACATGAATCACAGAGTCACAGTGGCATCTTGAGTCTTGAACCCCACCGTCTTGTGACCCCATGCATTAAAAGTTCTTTGAGGAGCCAGTGTTTTGGCCTCTCATATCCCACCGTCCACCGAATGACACCTAGATCGGGATCATACATGATCATACGGCAAATCACCATAGACCACCGGATGTGACTCATCCATGCCATCTGCATGTGCTAGCGATTCTGAGACAACGTTCTGAAGGCATCGATGGGCAAAATGAACATCCAAGCTGCATCACTGCTGTTGACCCATCCATAATGGTACGCACCAGAACACGGGCAGTCAAGCCTGAGTGGTAGGTGTCAATGAAACAGTTTTGAAGGAGTCAGAACCCCATGCCGGCAAAATGAGTAAAAACCGCCGTCAAACTGGTGCGGCATATGCGGCATGGGCTCTGGGCTGGGATGCACTGGTTCAACTAACTACCTTACGCAATCCTGACAGGGATGCGCCAACACGGTCTCACTGGCAGCACTCGTTCGCCACAACTGGCGACAAACATGGTTTTGATATCGAAGGTGGCTCTTGTTGAAGCAATCTTCCTTCGCACTAATGTAAACTCTTGATTAACAAACACCCTCATATGAAGAGGCTGTTCAATTCAACGAACAAATTGTTGGAATGTAAATATGATACTGCTGACTCCCGAGCTTTGCACCAAACTTTCCACGCTTTAATTCGTTTCGGAAAGCTATATCCATCCTATCCCCCCAAACAAAAGTAGTTTTAAAGGTGATCCACTTGTCCTGGGTAGGAATATGATGAGGATAGGTGTGTCTGCGTGATGCCTCCAAGGATGTTTTACAAAGCCGCGTGGCCGATGGACCAACGAAAGCCTTCGATCATCATGTGCTCGGGCATCTCGTTCTCCTTACAGCAGCGTCGAGATGGGGACCATGTACGAAGGTGGAAGGATAGTGCACCTTTAACCTTTGGATCATTTGGATTCATTTGGGAACCTTTCGAGCTTGTAAATCCCCCATCCGATGGCAAAGCACCCCTCCATCCAACCGATTGAGCATATATTCAGCTGACCTGCTACCAGGGTAAGGCAGGTTAGCTGCTCCCAATCTTGTTCAGTTGAGTGTCTGGAATCTGATGCGCTCTGTCCTTTGGGCACCAAATAAGCTTGGTACTCTCCTCAGTCCCACTGCTCATGGCAAATTGAATGGCAAATCTGGGACATGTCTCTCCCCACGATGAGCAAATTTCTTCAACATGCTGGGCAAATATGCATCGTTTCACTGTTTCTTCAGATAAGAGTATTTCTCACAACTGTCACCAACACACCCAGCAAGACACCGGCAAGTCAGCAACTTGGCGCAGCCGTTGCTTGTGGCTTCGGATCATATCAAGACAGGCGGCACCGCAGCACAATCCAGCCAGTGTGCCATGTGTGTACGTATTTATTGGGCAGTTCCCCTGGTTGATTATTACTTTTTAAAATCTTGTGGGAAAGGAGGAAAGGAGAATCCAGGTGCTGCACAAGAAACTGTCGCACCTACCTGCCAGCAATTATGTGGGGACTGGGCTATCTGGCCTACAACATCAAGCAAAGTAGCCACCTCGACAATTGCGTGACATCTCTACTGACGACAGCCGGGTCCATCACAAACGGCACCACAAGTGATCGGGGTCCACCCTGGCCACCGAAGAAAGATTTATCCTATGGCAGGTGGGAGGTTGATGGCCCAGGTTATTCTCCCTGCTTTGGTGTGAAACACTTAGGGTGAACTCGAACAATCTTGCTGCTCGACAACAGGTGGAGTAGTGGTGAAATTCCATAGAGATGGATGCGGATTTGATGTCAACTCTGTAACTTTTGATGCAACTTTATAGCACCCTCGCGCGACGAACCTGGACCTGACAGTACAATACATCCCGTGGCAAGTTTACTTTGCATGTTTGCGCTGCTCGTCCTGTACCCAGTTTAAAAGACACAAGTAGGTAAGGGCTCACCACCAACCACCAAACGAATCTGTCACCAACATTCCCCAAAGTGTATACTGTATCGGCATCGTCGCCACCGGGCATCGGTTCTTAAGCATGGAACATTCCGAAGCCTTCCAGCTTCAAACATACCATGACGTCTCCAATCTTCAGTGGATGTCCCTTCCCAGAACCAGAAGAGTCTGAATGGTAAATTCCTCTTACAGTCTTTGCCAGGCCAAATGAAAAGCAAAGCTGAAAACGCCAGGACACCACGTCATTTGGAAACTCCTGGATCAGTGGGTGCATCACCTGAATCTGGGGAGCAACGACTGATGAGCTCTGCAAGAGGTCAATCCCGCTTCGCAAGCCGTCGCAATCGATGAATTACTAGGAGTGTAGGAGCATGGTGGCTGAACTGACCCGCCTGAACGCAAACCTCCACAAAGGGTCCAAAGAGCTCGATTGGAATGCCATAGCCTCGGCACCAAGAGAGTTGGAAGACCGTGTGTCAGCTACAGTTTTCACTGTTGAGGGGAACTTGGAGATGAGAATATGTCAAAAAGGAAAACATGCAACTGTCCGCGGGCGCGAAGAGAGCAGCAAGGATCTCGTATCTCTAGTCTTGGAGGGCAACAGAACTTTCACAAACATGCTAGATCAGATCTAGCTGAGCACGCCAACCAGGACCAAGTCTTAAACAATTATCTCGAATGGTTGACCGTCGAGTCAGAGAGAACGGGACTGCGCGGGCGCACCCCAAAGACCACCCGAGAAAACCAAGAACAATGTCAGCAATGCAAGCTGTTGGTTTACAGTAATTGATCAACCCCCCATAGGAAGATGTGACTCAATATGACTCAATCCAAATGAGGTATGATTTTTGTCATCAATAGTCTACATTAATTTATTGTTCCTCGTTTCTCTGTCCCCAAATTTCTCGATCGAAGAAGCCGACATGACGCAAACCGAGAGCCGAGAGATCATCCAAGGTTTCCTTGCTGCGACGACGGAGAGGTCAAAGGAGGAAAGGATGGAGGCGTTGCGTGATGGAACCGTTTCCGCTTCTCAGTGTTTTCATGTGTTTTCGCAGTGTTCATCGTTTTGCAGGGAAAACGCTTAGAGAAATCCACTCCCTGCCGATTGGATTGCACAATTCTGGAAATACTGGATTCGCGGTTGTTTACACATGTTTGCCGGGTTATATTCTTTTCGCGCTGTGTGAAGTTGGTAGCTTTGTGCCATTGATGTTGATTGCCCCAGCGCCTCACAATCTGAGGAATCTATAAAGTGATTCGGGGCTTAAAAATTCTGGGGACTTCGCAGCAAAAAGCCAGCATTTGGAGAGATAAACAGGCAAAGAACCAAGTTCTGAGAGATAAAACGCAGCCTATGCCAGCGCTTTCATCACCCACAACTCCAATGACCAAATGCTGGCACTAAAGGGATGAATCATGTGTTCTTTGTTCTGATCTTGGACCTAGAGCCCAAACATGACCGCTGTTTTGAGAGGAAGTTTGACTATATCTTGGCTGGTTGATGATGAAAAGTGGAGGTCACTCAGTTTTTAGGTAGGTATACCTAGGTAATAGCAATGGCCTCCAACCTAATTACTAGCGATGGCCTCCAACCTAAATACTAGCGATTGCCTCCAACCTACTAGCGATGGCCTCCAACCTACTAGCGATGGCCTC